TTCTTCTTCTTCTTCTTCTTCTTCTTCTTCTTCTTCTTCTTCTTCTTCTTCTTCTTCTTCTTCTTCTTCTTCTTCTTCTTCTTCTTCTTCTTCTTCTTCTTCTTCTTCTTCTTCTTCTTCTTCTTCTTCTTCTTCTTCTTCTTCTTCTTCTTCTTCTTCTTCTTCTTCTTCTTCTTCTTCTTCTTCTTCTTCTTCTTCTTCTTCTTCTTCTTCTTCTTCTTCTTCTTCTTCTTCTTCTTCTTCCCTTCTCTTTCCGATTGACCATCTCAATCAAACTTCAGTTTCAGGCACGGCGAGATGTGGACAGCACGGCACGCAATAGCGTTGCTCGTTGTGCTCACGTACGCCTACTCAAACATCCTGCCACCAGGAACAACGTTTTCCCAGTCCATAAAGGATATATTCAGGTTTCAAGACAGTAAAAAAGTAGTAGGTTATCCATTCAATCTACAGCTACAGTAGTTTGTATTCCAGCAAGATATTGAAGATGTAATGTGCTCGGAGGATCCTCCGGAAAGTCGAATTCCGACCCGAGAAGAGTTGTTGGAGTTGATACGAAAATCAGAACAAGAAGACCACAAATACGATGAACATGTGAGAAAAAAGCGTCAAACATCTCGAATAACATATCAAGAATACTTGGATAATCTTGGAAAAGCAGACTATGATGTTCGGATAGAAGAAGGATGGACCGAGATTCTGTACCCATTTGGAACATGGGCAATGGATAAACAGTTGATGGGACAAGCTGGAAGAGAGACGCAGACTAACTTGGGATTTGATTGTCCGTTTTATGGTTTTCGGTTTAATTATACAATGGTTTATCCAATGGGAATGATTTCATTCGGACTTCCGCCCTTTTCTGCTCCTCCATGGACGTTTCCAAATCCATCATGGCCGAAACAGAGGGTAAGTGTGAAACTACCGTATTTCCTCTAGTAGAAGCCCACCCAAACCATCAACTTTGAGCCCATCTAACTCATTTTCTGTGAAAGATATCAAAAAGTGGTCTACTGACAAAATTTTAATCATAGCTTCAAAAATGCTTTGTCGGTGAACCACTTTTCGAAATCTCTTACGGAATCCGAGATGAATTGGCTCAATGTTGAAAGTTCGGAATTTCATACTATTATACTGTTTTTGGTATCTAAAAAGTTTGAGACTTGATATAAAGGTTAATCCAAGAACCGTTTCTAACACGTCAGGAAACTTTGTTCAGTATTCTTCCATCATTTTTTAATTCGATTTGAAAATCTGAAAAAATTTCAAACTCAACCAATTGTTACCTAATCTTTTCAGGATCACTCATTTATTGCTCCATTCTATGCCGACGCAATGTTCCAATGGATCGGAAACACCAAGATCAGTAACGTCTTCTTTCGAAGTGTACATCGCCCACGTGTAAGTGACTCACTGAGTTTCATAACTATATCTATCGATATTTCTTTCCCCCTAAGACCACCCGCTATTTCTTTCCCCCTAAAAATGTTATCACCGAGAATACCTATTAACATTAATTATTGATTTTATAACCGGATTATATAATAGGTAAACAATTGTCTTCAGCTCGACGACGATGAAATTTACGAGCGGAACAGTCAACTCAATTATGGAGCACCGAACTATGCACAAGCGGGAGCCCAGTCGGATGCAAATCAACAATACGCGAATCCAAGTCTCTACTCTCAGAATTTGAATCCGTACTCTCAAAATCAACAATACAATACACAACTCTTACAACAACAGCAACAAATTTATGGGAAACGAAAGAAGAGACAAATGCCGGGAAGAGTCTCCCAACCGGGAATGGTCGTGGATCCATTGCTTCTAGATAATATCACAAGACATATTCAGGTGAGAAAGATAATGAAGAGATTGGGAAAATGATGAAGAAGTTATAGGATGGATACACAGGAGCTAACGGATTCCGAGCAGAACACGCTTTCATTGCTACTTGGTACAGGGTGAGTGGGGGACAAGGGGGTTACTGTAATGAGAAGAAAAAAGAAGAAGAAGAAGAGCAGGAAATGTGTATGTAAACAAAATAGAACAATCAGAAGGTTTTCTATTAAGGATAATTTAGTATGTTATGATTCTGATAAGGAAAGAAAAAAACTTCATGAATATTTCCATATCTAAATTTCCAGATGGCCCATGGAGGTGCGGCTCGTGCGTTGGACGTATCTCAATTCGAACATGTCAAGGACTGGCAAAACACTTTCCAACTTGTTCTAGCTTCCGATGAAATCAGGTATTAACTATTCTCTTTTTCTTTTTTACGTCTTCTAAATTTCAAGAACATTCGCCATATTCAACTACGCTCGTCTGAACTGGACGTCTTCGAATGAAGCCGGCGGTTTGGATGGTTTCGGAGGCAAACAAGCAGCAATGGCTGGGTTCAACGGTGGAAACGGAACAGGATGGTATGGAATGCCGTACAGTGGAGAAGGAAGATTATGGAAACTTGGATACTTTTCGAATGTTTTGACACCGGGTAGATGGATTCATAGAATTGATGAATTGATTATTCCTGCTGGATGCACGAATGCATCAAACGGTGCAATGATGACAGCTCCACCATGGGGACCAATGCATGGAGGAATGGCTATAAATGTATCTGGACCTTGTCTCAGACCTGCTGATGTTGTGAAAGTATGTTTAGAACTATATATTAAAGGTGGGGAGACATGAAAAAATAATGTTTTCGAAATTCCGTTTAAATATTCCCCTTGAGGAGTTGAACTTGTGGGAGCGAGGATTAAGTGTGCGGCGCCGCTACCGACTGAGCCACGCATGCAGGCAAAGAAAAAGTAACCGCCCGATTGCATACATAAAGGCGAGGATGACAGCTTTACGCAGAGTGACATCAAGCGTTTTACACCGTCACGGTAGAATGCATACCCTAACTCCAAAAAACCTCCGAAAAATCTGCTGTCCCCCACCTTTAAGAAGGTTTCAATTTGTATTCCAGGTAAACTTTGAAAATTGGCAGACCAGTTGTGTCCGTTTGAATAGAGTTCGTGCTCGTTGCATTATGCCGATGTTCCATAAAATTGGGATTGTTCCTATTAGAATGAGTAGGGATGGTGGACAATCTTTTCCATTTTTCGGACGATTTTATGTTGTCAATTCGGAAAGAGCACCTGCATACGTGTCACTCAAGGATTCCGTAGACAACAAAACAAACCGATGGTTAGTTTATTCTATACTTGAAAAACGGGCCCTGCGATAGTTTCTTTTAGAATTAATATTTTTTGACCAACTGAATGAGCTCTGATAGAACTTGGCAATAACTACAAAATGAAACTTTTTGGAAAATTATATATTGTTTATGAATAAAGTTACAAGCCATGAAGCTGATCCGGGCGGGGCCGGGCTCTGCCTTTTTTTTCTGTCCGTTTCGTGTTTCGTCTATAACTTTGTTCGTAGACAAAATACAGTCTTCACAAATCATTTTGTAGTACTCGTCGAGTTCTATCGTATCTAATTTAGTTGGGCAAAAACCGTATTTCCTCTAATAGAACCCTATAAGTGCACTTTGAGTTCAACTATCTCGGTTCATATAAAAAATATAAAGAAGCGGTAGACTGACAAAATATTTATCATAAAATCACCAATATATTATTAGTTGACAATTTTTTGATATCTTTCACAGGAATCTTGGATTTTGAGTCGAGTATTTTGAGTTCAAAGTAGACGGTTTGAGTGGCCTTCGATTAGAGGAAATACGGAATATTAATTCAAAAAAAATTGACTTGGTCCGCCGGGAGTCCGTTTTGGACTTGTTTTCAAAACTGGTTTAATCTTGGATATACTCTTTCGAACGTTTCAAAAAACTTCTAGGTATGAACCCTATGCACAAGAATTGGCGATGACATGGCAAGCAATGAATTTGACTTGGAATTCAGGAGCACGAGTTGATATCAGTTTATTTGGATACTGGGAAGACGCTGATAGATCACATTTTGAAAGGTTGGACTATCTAGCCAGAGGAATAGCAAATACTGGAACCTACTCGTTCCGTCCTCAACAATTAACAAAACAATTTCTACTCCGAGATGCCTGGCAAAAGTTTCATTTTGGTTTTGTTCAAGTTGCCCTGGCTGATACAGAAGACGGCGTAATGTGGAGTAAACCAACACCTTTTCCATGGTATCACCTGAATGAGTGGGAACATTATTATGGACAAAACTGGCCAATTGATATGTGTGTTGAATGGTTTGAGTATGATGGAAAGAGAAATAACTTCCAAATTGATCTTACCACCGATTTTCCGTGTCCCTGCAAACTATCCCAAGCTCTTCTTGACTTGGGTCGATTCATGCCTCTAATGGATTGTGATAAGGATGGAGACACTTCTTGTCCTTTTAACAAAGGAGCTCAACATTGTATTCAGTCTGTTCAGCCTACATTTTCTGGATCTTCACAACAATGTTGTTATGATTACGAAGGATATTTAATGTTTACTGATGACTGGGAACCTGATGGTGATTACACGACATTCTTCCAACCAGGAACACCTGCTAGAGCTCATAGATATGGTGCCGCTCCATACAGACTCCCTCCATTCATCCCAACTCTTTCCAATTATCAGTTGGATTTGCTTCCATACAGAACTTGTTGCAAGTGAGTTTATGTGCCCCTAACTTTGAGCCAATTTATCTTGGTTCCTGTCAAAGATATCAAAATTTAGTCAACTGATAAAATGTTTGTGATATTATGAGAAACAATTTATCCGTTGACTACTTTCTGATATTTTTTACAGTAAATGAGATATATGCGCTCTAAATTAAAGGTTCCAGGGACATTGTATTAGAGTGTTTACGGTATGTAGTACTGTTACTTATTCAAGTATTGTTCAGATACGCAGACCACTGTGAATTCTACTACTGGCGTCGAATGACTAATGGATGTCAGGACTACCGAGCTCCAGCTGCTGGATACATGTATGGAGAGCCACATGTGATCACTTACGATGGAATCAGATACACAATGCCAGGAAAGGGATACTATGTTCTCACGATGTCCGACAGTCCATATCACAAATTAATGGTGCAGGTTAGATTGGAACAACCAGATGACACACTTTGTGAGTTTTTTTTTGTTATTACTCTGCTATCGGCTTGTAACTTCTGGTCAGAAGTTGAAAGGGTTCCGCTTTTGGGGGACCATTGGCTAGGTTCAGGCCTGAACTTGCCCAAAAACGGCTGAATAGCGGGCCGTGGTCAGATTTTAGTCGGAAGTTGGAAGTTGAAATACTTCTAGGTCAGACCTTTCCATAAGTTTTGCGGAGTCTAGTCATATTTAGCAGCGGTCTTATCCGGAATCTGACTAACTTCTGACCAGATGCGCTAAGTTTTTGGAAACGTTTTATTTTTCAGGGCATGCTCATGTGAATGCTACTGTTATCACTGCTGTTGCCGTTCAGGAAAATGACAGTTCTATTGTCCAGGTTTATGCAAGAAAACCAATGAGACGGTGGAGATATCGAACGGATGTTTATGTAGATGGATCTAGAAGATTCTTTGACAAACCACATTGGAAGCATCAACAGTTCAAGCGTAAGTTTTTTTTTTGGGACTTTGAACCAAACCTGTCTTTGAAAATATGTAAAACCTGTAATAGAATTGCCCAACCACTGTCAAACTTAAGCTCAATCATCTCAATTTCTATGTAAGATATGAAAAATGTGTCACCTGATAAAATATTGGTGATATTATGTTAAACAATTTATCAGTGGACAACTTTTTTACATCTTTGGTAGCAACCGGGAAAAATTGGCTGAAAGTTAAAAGTAAGGGAGCCCTTATATTACTGGTTTTACAGTATTTAGAAAACAGATAAAGCTGAAGTTTGGTAATCTATCTGTTTCTATTAATAGTTTAAGTTTTCAGATCTTGATATCAGAAACCCACTCCAAAACATGAATCAATCTGAACTTGTGATAATGCTGAAATCTGGAGTTGGAATTCGAATTTTCGAAGGATTTGGAATGTTGGATGTTATGGTGACCCTCCCGCCAAGCTATAATACCACTTGTCGACAAGGAGAATCGATGTCATCCGCTTTGAATTCTCCATTAGGTCAGCGGAGATGTTACACGACGTTAGGGCTGCTAGGCGTATATGATAATGATCCTGCTAATGATTTAACAACTCCGACTGGTGCAGTTACTAGGGTATCTAATCCGACAACTACGGCGTCAACAACGCAGATGATATATGAACAATTTGCTTCTACTTGTAAGTTTTTTTTTTAAATTTGAAACAACAATTAGAAGAAAAAACTTTCAGGGAAAATTGATGGAACTAATGAGAAACTTGGCGGATTACTGTTTCAAGACAAGTACAAACCACTATACAATCCGTTGCTGTTTGCTGAGGCTGATTATCGACCTGTCTATTGGCCACAAACTATAGACATGAATGCATCAAGAGTTTTTACAATGGAAGAAGTTGTGAGCACGTGCCAGAACAATCCAGAATGCGAATATGATTATTTGCTAACTGGAAGAAAGGAAATTGCATTGACTACGTTAAGAAGGCAGAAACAGTTTATTGCTCTTCAGAAGACTGGAAGTAAACAGTGTAAGTTTGTTTTCAAACACCTGTAAACTCAAAAAATGATTCTTTTCAGTAATATCTTGTGGTCCATTGCTGAAGAAAGAAGGCGTGGTTAAGACTCCACCAGCGGCCAACTACTTGGACGGAGACAAAGTTGTGTTCTCTTGTAAACCCAAATATTATATTCATGGAGATATTGAAAGAGTGTGTAGGAATGGAACATGGTCTCCTGGATGGTGGGCATGGTGTCGAGACAGAAATCTGGAATATGCCTTGAAATGGATGACGGCGTTACTGTCGATTTTTGGAATCAGTTTGATCTTTGTGATCTTCTTCTGCATTCTTTGGAATATCAGGAAAAAGAAGCAAGCTGCTCATGCAGAAAGATTACAGTTAAAGGATGAAGAAGAGAATCTGAAGAAATTAGAGCATGATAGAATGTAAGAGACGGATCGGTTTACTTGTTCTAATTGAAAATATTTTCCAGACTGGCGAATATACCGGAAAAGACACCATTAATTGAAAATGACTTTCGTTCTAATTACAATATAAGTCAAACTTCTCGTCCGTTATCTCAACCTGCTAGTACTCATTACACTCCACCATCATTTGTTGCTCCACCAGCTCCAACATACGAAGCAGCAACTTCATCCCGAAATCAGTACGAACCAACGATAAGGAATATGAACATGCCATTCCAAACATCTCAGTTCTAAAATCCTGAACCCAGTTTGTTTTTGTTTAAACTGCCTGGACCAATTGTGTATGTATCTATTTTATCTCTTGTTATGTTGTTTATGAATTCCTATTCAAATCGTGTTACCTAAATCAACCACTTTCTTATTCAGATCTCAAAGATCTTCATTTCATAAAACAAGCCACTGTCTTTTTCTTGTTCGTTTTCGATTAATAAATTGTTCAATTTTTTAGGGAGACCGTACAAATCTGCAAGGATCGAAATCCGCAAGAAACGAATCCACAAAAACGGTAGCCGTGCGCAGGATGCGAAAAAAGGCGGGGTTATTCTAAATCTCTTAAAAGGACTCCAGTGCTGTAATAAGCGTGTTCAAAAGTATCTTAATCCAATCTCTAAGTTTTTTGAACGTGCTCCGATGTGAGAGCAAAAGAAGGTGACGAATTAAGACCCTGTTTTTTCGCTATTTCAATAAGGGTGTATATAAATCCTTACATAGGTTGTCGTTTTCTTATATAAGGTATATATATCGGGTTTCTCTCCGAATAATAATTCTAAGTCTCTAAAAGTTCGTCATTTGATTTTCCGCCGCAAGGAATGGAAACGCGCTCTGGCGCGATTGCGCAAACTTTCGGCGGGAAACTGTGATTTTGTTTTTATCTGGCCCATTTTTCTTCATTCTTGTCTCGGAGAAGGGCACCGCTTAGTGACACCCTGCATACTCTTCGTACAGTTTCATTTGTGATTGATTTTGCCTTCTTTGGTTACCTAGTTTCCCCTTTGGTTACCGATTCTCGAGCATTTTCTCAAATTTCCCTAGTTATTACCTTTTTTCCCATTGCCTTCTAGTTACCCTTGCCTTCTGTTGTTACCGTCCCCTTGCCTTTTAATTACCCAGTCATAATAAACCAGTCATGTTTATAAAAGCTGTCCTTTTTCTTTCTCTCCGACTTCTCGCTACAGTTTTTTTCCACCCATCTCACCTCATCTACCGGGGTGTGGCCACAGTTCTCTCCGTTCACCGTTTTTCTCTCCATTAGCAAACTCAAAAGAGAATTCGTTGGTTTTCAGGCCAAAAATGACCCAAATTGACCAAGCGTTCCGAGACCTGGAGTACAATCCTACTGCTGATGCGTTGGGAACGTTCACGACGTAAGTTTGAAGACAGGATGGAGCTAAATATTACTTCTGGCTTGCAGACAACTCGAGACGCTTTCCAAAATGCTCCCGTTCCCCGACATGAAAGCTGGTCTCATGGATTGCCTCCGCAAGATTCGCCGGGACAGGCGATTCGACGCCGTTCGCAACGACGAGACGATGCTCCGTCTGTACAAGATACTCGGACAGTATAGTGAAAATCTGGGCATGAAAGGAATCTACCTCCAGCTTCACACCACTGGAAACTTCAGCAAAAGTCTCAATCTCTACTTGCAATGGGCTGAAGAGTTGGCCAAGAAGCAGGATCTCACCGAGTTCACAAAAGTGCTTGACATGGCTCGGAAAGCTCTCGACAAAACGCTTACCATGCCAGAGATCGAATCTGGATTCCGTGATATGGCCGATGAGTACTTCCCGGATGGTCGAGCAGCTGCGCTATTCGCCAGTCCAGACGACACACTCGATGTGTTCCGTGACAATGCGCCAGGAAGGAGAATGAAGAGACGATCATCGGGTGCCATCTTCAGCAAGTGGCTCCTGTGAACACAGCAAAGGAAGCAGCTTTTGGGCCAAGAAGTGAGTTTTTCAAATAATTTTTCCAAAGGAATCATATAACTGCTCTTTCAGCCAAGACAAAGCTGCGCTCCGAGTTCATCGACGTTCCTGGAACATTCGGTGTCTCGATCGAAGAGTTTCGATATGCCAAGTGGAAGGACACATTTGGAGAAGACGTTGATCCACACAGAAGAGACTCTGGAATCGTGCAGGCTAAGCATCAAGTCGCTGCAAACGACCGATGTGCTCGTGAAGAAGTTGAAAATCGGATTGCCTCGAATCTCAAAAGACGTCCACCGCTCTCCCCACTCTCTGAAGCCAATGCTGACGATGAGGATGAGAAGCGTAGCAGAATCTACTCGCCATTGGTTCCAACGAAAGATGCCACTAGACCAGCGCTTCGAAACTCTAAAACGTTCCAAGACAACATCCCCACTATCACCCTTTCGTCGGATACCAAATCGGCTTCTTCGAAGGAGATAAGTTATAACCAACTAGATGATAGCGATACGGAGGAGAAACTGAAGACAATGGCAGCTGGAAGAGAGAAAGCTCGTACTAGCTCTCTCAGTAGTTCCACTAGCTCATCTACCCGAACTGCAAAGAGTGGAGGGCTGGATCTGATGGCTGAGAATAATTGCTTGGAAGCGCATGCGATGTTCTCTGAAACTGTTCACATAGGAGGTCCAGAGAAAACAATGGTGATCAGTGATGAAACAATGTCTATCAAGCCCACCGAAGTCTCCAGCAACTTCTCGGTGCTTTGTGATCCAGATCCAACGATGAATTTGACTCATGATCGTCCGAAGAAGACGTCCGGAGGATTGAATATGGTTTTCGATGAGCTCGCGCTGGTTGAAGAGTCGATAGGCGAGGCTGTTGAAGTTAAAACGGTTTCAAAGATCAAGAAGGACCTAGAAGACACTCGTTTGGGGAAATCGCTCAGGACTCCGCCAACATTGGGAGACGAAGATGATAGTGAGTTTAAGCAAAAAAGAACAAATATTTCAATAAATCGATACATTCCAGTGTTCGACGATGAGCTGATCCATGGTCACGGCTTCGGAAAGATCACCCATGGCTCAATCGTCACATCGACACCAGCTGCCGGAGTTGCATTTGTGGATATCGAGTCATACTTCGGAAACAAGTGGAGGCTGATCGTGAGGAAGAGGAGAACGTTGTCCAACCGAAGTTTGTAGTGCCAACTGGAAGCACTTTCAATAAATTGGTAATTCGATTTTTTTGATTTTCCGATTTTCTAAATTCTCGATTTTCAGATGCGCCGAAAATCACAAGCAGCAGCTGCACAAGCTCAAGTTGCGCCACCAGCACCACCACCACCAGCACCGAAGCAAGTTCCAGCTGCCAACTCATCGATTGACTGTCTTTCCGATAATCTCGGACGTCGCTTGTCCCTGGGTGCCGATGAGATTCGAGCTGCCATCGTCGCTGGCGAAGCAGAAACAACTGGAATTCTCAACCGCCGTCGTAGTGAGATCATCAGAAAGGGAGATATAAATCCGTGGGATGAGACACTCCGTAGAAGATTGATGGCAACAGTGCGTGCGCCAATCAACATGCACGAATTCCAGGAGAGAGCACCGAAGATCCAGGCGAACAGAGATTGTGAAGTTGGAGGAGAAGTGTTCCATATTCAAACGCTGATTGGACAGGGAGGGTACGCCAAGGTGTACAAAGCTGTGAACGAGGAGAAGAAAGTGGTGGCTGTGAAGTATGAGGTTCCGTCGTGCTCCTGGGAAGTGTACATTTGCGATCAAATGCGCAATCGGTTGATCAAGGATCGCGAGGATCGAGTGAAGATGGCTGACTGGTGTATTATGAAAGTGATGGATGCTTACGTCTTCTCGACTGCCTCACTCCTTGTCAACGAATACCATGAGTACGGAACACTTCTGGAGTACGCCAACAGTATGAAGGACCCGAACTGGCACATCTCATGCTTCTTGCTCACTCAAATGGCTCGTATATTGAAGGAGGTGCATGCTTGTAATATCATTCATGGAGACATCAAGCCAGACAACTTCATGATTACTAGAAAGTGAGTCAAACGATTTGGTTCAATGAAATTAAAAAATGTTTTAGAATTGATCCGAACTGGGACAAGGACGCTCTCATGAGCAACGATACGTTTGTGGTGAAGATTATCGATTGGGGACGTGCCATCGATATGATGCAGCTGAAGGATCAGACATTCAAGGGAAGAGCTGGAACTGAAGATTTCGACTCGCCAGAAATGATTGACGGACGCCCATGGAACTATCAAGCGGACTACTTCGGCTTCGCCGCCACTATGGCTGTTGTGGTTACCGCGAAGTACGGAAAATTGACGGGCAGCAAAGTGGGAGAGTACTCGTTGAGCTGTGATATCAAGAGACGAAACGCTCTTCGTAACACCATCTTCGACATTATCAAAAAGTTCCTCAATATTGAATCAGTCAATACGCTCCCTGATTGGTCGGAAGCCATTCAACAGTTTGCCGATTTCTGGGAGACGAATTTTGACGGTTCTTCGTGGAGACAAGCGATTGCCAAGTTCAACGAAGTCTGTGACCTGGCTGCCACTAATCACAAACAATGAAAAATGAATTTTCTCTTTTTTTTCTCTGTAATATATCTCGTATTCTCGTATTTCATGCTCTGTGTGTGTTTTCACTTCATGTCAATGAATATTGGAGTGCTGACCGTTTTTCTGAATAAATTTTAACGGAACTTATGACTTTTTATCGCAGTTTTCATGGAGCTTTCTCGCCAGTCTGAAATGTTCACTTTTGTGTGAAAAAATGTTTATAAATTTTTGAAGTTCGTTCAAATCTGGTAAGTACTTCGAGGCCCGCGCTGTTTCAACCACTTTAAACCCGGAAGAAAAATACTCCGCCCCGATTACCTCGGAGCAGACATGAGTGGAATTCCTTATTCCTTATTCCGGGTGTTTTTTCTATTCCTTATTCCTTCTTCCGGATTTTTAAATTGTTATTCCTTCTTCCTTATTCCTTATTCCGGATTTTTAAATTGTTATTCCTTATTCCTGATTTTCAAATTTCATTCCTTCTTCCTTATTCCTTTTTCCGGATTTTCAAAATTTTTATTCCGCTCATGTCTGCCTCGGAGACAACCCCTTCATCGGAATCGGTGAAGTCTCAAATCGAGATTACCGATACGGTCTATGTACGAGACCGTACAAATCGGAAAGATTTGAAATCGAAAAGAAATGAAACGGAAAGAACGCTAAACCGTGCGCAGGCTGCAAAAAAGGGCGGGGTTTATCTGAATTGAACGAGAGATTTCTGAACTGTAAGAGATTTCGACAAAACCCCGCCCATTTGCAGCTTGCGCACGCCATTTCAGCAAAACTGTGCACGGTTTAGCGTTCTTTCCGTTTCGTTTCTTACGGTTTCGTTTCTTTCGGATTTAAAGTCTTTCCGATTTGTACGGTCTCCTATGTACGGTTCGTTAATTGCTCGTCCAGTTCGACGCATTGGCCGTAAAAGGTACTTAATGTGTTTGCGGCACCGCGGAAAAAGGAAAAATTTGAAACAGATTTCAGAATGTTCTCCCGTCTACTTTTCAGATTTTTTCAATTAAGTTGCAGTTATTTAAATTGCTAATTTTTTACTGGATAATTACTAAAACTAACTTTCAGAATGGGACACACTTTCTCATCAGCTGCCGAGTCGCAGAAGACACCAGCTTCTACTCCACAGAGAACTACGAAGGCACCGGTGTGTGTTGACCCGCGATCACCCAGTCAGGACATTGAAAGAACTCCGATTCAATTCAATTCGTCATCCGGCACAACAAAAGTGAACCAACTCGCTAACGAACGAAGTGACGATTCTGAGAACTCTAGCAAAAATGAGGAGAAACCAGCTAAACAGAGCCTCCGTCAGAAAATGTTCGCGAGAATGAAAAACAATAGTCAAGATGTTGTCTCAGGTATAATCACAGCAATTTATTAAAATATACATAAAAAATTTTCTTTTTACAGAAGACTGAAAACCCTTCTCCATTCCAAATCGGCGTCAAAGTCGTGTCTTTTCACCGCTTCACAAATTGAAATTCGATTGGATCCCTGTAATCTCAATTTCCCGTAAATAACTCAATCCTAACTGCGAATATATCTCACCATCTCTGTCATACCATTTTTCCATTGATGTAATGTTGCCTCTAATGATTTGATACGCGTTTCAAACATTTCAAAAATTGGTGCTTCCCACAGAGACTTTCCATCGATTCGTGTATCATGTCCATTCCATCTCACAACCTCTCTTTTTTTCTTTATATCATCATCAATTTTGATTATAATAGTGACATACTTTTTCTGAAAATCCCATTTAATTGTACATAAAAATTCCTAAATTTACCATTTGTAGTGACATCGTAAAGATGACAGTGTTACTGGGTAATTTAATTTTCAAGCTTCCAGTATCAATTCCACTGGAAATACAATTTTCCCCAACTTCCAAATCCACTCCTGTGGAATATTCTATAAAACTAGATTTGGGAATCGTATTGATTCCTTCAGAATGAACGATGTTAGATTTGAAAAGCGAAGGGAAAGAATGACGGAATGGAGATTCTGGTAGTAGGCTTTCGACGAATTCTTGGTAAGTTCCGAAATGGAAAAACGAGTTCTCGCCCAAAATAGATATCTGGAATCTAAATTCCATAAATATAAATATTATAATTGACTCACTTCGACGTTTGGATCTATGAACACCTCTGTTAGAGCTTTTCTATACAATTTTAGCTTTGGTGACGCTGAAAATTCGCAAAATTAAGAATATAACAAGTAGTGATTTTCAAAAGTTTTAATTTTGGGAAAAATATTCAGAAAGTGTTAATATTTCTGTTATATTTGTTGAAAAAACACGTTGCTCCCAAAAACTTAACGGTCCATCTTTTGGGAGATTCAAAAGATTCACGTGGCTCACAAAATTTTTTGAATTTTCAGTACTTTGATGTGAAAATTAAAACTTTTGAAATTCACTACTTGTTATATAACAAAACAAATCTGTAGCCTTACAGTTCTGAAGATAGTCTAACTTTGGTGCATAGCCCATGGGTCTCATGAAATCACCATAACAGCAGAGTTCTTCAGTTATCGGTGTTTTGAAAAGAGGATTCTTCAGGAGCCTCTTACAAAACTTCCAGGACATGAAGTAGCAGCTGAAGATTAAATGATGAGAGTATGTGAATTGGATCCACCAACCTATCCGTCACTACCATCCCATCTTCTCTTATTGCACCTTCGATTTTCATTTCTTCTTCAGATGCTTTTTGTAAAACACATTTCAACTGTCCTGATTTTTCATCCATCACAAACACTCCATGCTGTGTTCCAACCTGATCAACCAAGTTAAAAATAACATTTCAACAAGGTTCACTCACTTCAAGAGACGACAAATGCCCAAATATAACAATATCGGCTTCCGAAGACTTCACTGATTTCATAGAACTCATTTTTTCAATGACATCGGAAGCAGTTATCATAATCCCACCAGTTTGAGGAAGTTTCCCAATTAGATCGTTTCTAGATGTAAGTTTTTAGTTCAGTTTGTCTTCTATACTCACTTATAGATTTCTAATTTGGTTTCTAGAATAGTAGAATTGTTTGTCAATGTCCCAAAAGCTTTTCCATATGCCGAAAGATGTGGCATTCGTTGAGAAAGACCGCCCGAGTGGAGAAGAAGAATCTATAGTCGAGTTCGAGAAGAACGTTCGCTTTCATTATAAATCGTTTTTACCTTGGTTCCCTCCAAATCTTTATATTTCTGTTCATCAAATATTCTTCTTATGATACTGAGTGTCGCACCACCTGAACCTATTCGAATCCCAGGTGATTCATCCGTCACGACTTCAACTGCTTCACAATATTTTTCAGTAGAAATTAGAGACAATTGCTTTTTGAATATATCGTTTTGAGAATCCGAGCCAGCAGTTAGAATAAGTTTCTGCCACATTTCCAAAGCGAAAGGTGGTCAGAAAATCGATGACCTAGCAGTGTACAGCTGCCTGCGTTGGTCGCCTGCCTCCACGTCGCTATCGGAGCTAGGAGGAGGAATAGTGTTGGAAGAGGAGATGTTGCGGACTAAAAATTGAAGTCGTGATAAAATTAGAAGAATAACACCGTTTATTAATTAATAACTGATCTACAGTCTCATTAAACCTAGAAACACCGAATACTTGTTACAGTGAACATATTGTAATGCAATTGTACAATTTTTACACAGGGTTTGAATAATATGAAAATATACAAAAACTACAGAGCTTTAAAAGCTAGCTTAAAACTGAAATATGGATAGAATGAGTAGTTCTAGGCGAAAATAAATACACATTTTCTGCTAGCATGAAGGGCGAGAACAGCGGATTTAGTAAATCCAAGAGGGATTTGTACAGGCTTCAAACACCATTCTTCAGACGATGATCCGAATAGTGGAGATCGCATAAAAGTACTGAGCTGATCGGCGTCAAAGCCTGTATTGTCCATATGTACGTCCAGCTGATCATTCCGACGAAACGCAGTTGATTCAATAAATGGTAGCGCTGAGAGAGTGGTAACAAGTGGACAATCGGAGATTCGGAAGTACGCCAAATTGGGGCATGAACGCGAAATCCTACGGGAGAAATTGTCGGTTATCTGGAAATGTCATGAGTAAAAACACCAATCATTTATCATATTCCCACCTGAGGAGTTCCTTTCAAATCAATTTGAGAGAGTGTCTGGAATGATGATTGTAGGCAACGTAGTAACTTTGCTTCAGTGTCTCCACCCAATCGACACTGTTCAATCTCCACTTTTTCTAATTGGTTAAAACCAGCAATAAGCGCAAGAGTCCAGGTATGAATGCGTTCCAAATCGACTTCCGACAGGTTCAGTGTTTTGAGGGGAGCATCTTTTGTAGAATGGAGAACACGAGCAAGCTGCTCGTCAGAAATTTCTCCTGTGACCATATCGTTCTCCAGACGAAGTGAATCAATATCTGAAAAAGATGTATAAGCAAAAAAAGAGCATATTTCTGACTGACCTTCCCCTAGATGAGGCATCAGGAGATTCAGAATTTCCTTCGTTTCTTCGTCATCAATTTGGGGAATTTGAAGGTTTACAGTATCTCTATTGAGACCTCCACTTAACTGTCCGTTAGAAATCTTGATCTTCATGTCATGGATCTTTGGAAGAAGATTCACAACGACGGAGGCTAACTCGACACAGCTTAGAGCTGAGCTCAGAATATCCGTTGGTCTGACCCATTTCATGATTTCGTGAACCAGTTCAATCGGCATATTATCGAGCTTCATTCTGGACTTCTGAAAAATCTCAGCATAATGTTTCGGCTGTCAGTTCAATTGAGTATGGAGATAAAACACGAAATTTCGATCGATTTTTAAGACACACGAACACTTATAATCAAGAATAAGGTTAAGATTTATGAGAAGATTCTGGAAATGTTATATTCACAAGAGAATGAGAAAGAAAAGTATATTAAAAAGAATAACAACAGAAGAAACCCGAAAAGAAAGTGAAGAGGATGAAATTGAAACATATCAAAGCCCCCATAGCTTTCTTCTCTCCGATCTGACCGATTTCGCACCGACTTCAACGACGCGTCTGGAGGACTCTGGTCGCTTGAATGCTTTGTCACTTTCCTCTTTCCGTCTTTCCATCTCTTTCTGCGCCTCTCGCATTTCCGCTTCCATCGTTTCAACTGTTCGAACACTCTCCATTTTTTGTTCTCGTCGGGATTGTTTCGATTCTTTGATCGAGTAGAACATGGGACCAAGTTCAGCAAGCCAGATGGCATCTACTGCTGTTACGCATTGCATGTATTCTTTGGCAGTCATAATCAGTTCGTGATAAACCTGAAAAACTGATTCCCGTTTTTGTCATCATATAGTAATGTTTCTCACCACATAATCGGGCATGAAACCCATCCCAAAGAGCGCTGAAGTCGGATGAAGAAAGCATGGAATTCCGGTACGCACGTTGACATACTCTCCAATACCTTTGAGGCGAGCAGCGTTATGGAAGTACGCGGAACAAATACATTTTCTGACAATATCCCATTCGTTTCCATTGGATCTAAAAGGATAATCGATATTTGTGAATTGTTCAACTTTTGACTTACACGATTGGGAGCTTGAGGTCTTGCATGATTTCCTTAAGCTGTGCACGAACTTCTCGAACCTTTTTCAATGCTTTGACATGTAGGTAATTGTCTGCGCACCATTTTGCTGAATACTTATGTTCTCTCCATTGTAAGTAGACGTTGAGGAAAGTGAGATGATCAGATTCAGGAACTTGAAACTTTTCCTTCTTGGCATCAGCTTCTTCTTCTCTTCCTTTTGGTCGGAAGAATATAGCAGGTACAGAAAGCATAGAAACGATTGTCAGAACTTCATCACTGCAACCCATTTCTGCGGACACAATCAACATTTTAGACAGCGTTGGATCGAGTGGGAATTCAACCATTTTGCGACCCATTGGAGTTAGTTGGCCGGTGTTATCTAGAGCTCCAAGTGTCCAAAGTTGATACATTGAATTGAGCATGTTATCCTGTGGAGGAGCATCCATGAAATGAAATTTGAGGAGATCGTCAACGTTGAGTGATTTCAAGAGGAGTACCACATTGGCTAGATTTGTTCTTTGAATTTCCGGAACAGTACTTCTCTGAAAAAAATTGAAGTAAATAAAAAAATTGAAAAAAACACTTACTAGAAGCTCATCTTTAAACTGCCTTTCCGTATACAAACGGTAACATTGCCCTGGTCCCGTACGTCCCGCACGACCCGTCCGCTGATTAGCAGATGCCTGCGAGACTGGGAAAATCGACAAGGCGTCCATACCAATTCTCGGATTGTACACCTTCATCTTACAGAATCCAGGATCAATCACGAAAAGAATTCCATCAACGGTCAGAGAAGTTTCTGCGATGTTCGTAGCAACGATAGCCTTTCTCATACCTCCTGGAGCTCGTTGGAAAATTTTGGCTTGCAAATCACTGGGAAGTTGCGAATAGATCGGAAGAACAGCAAGAGGTGGAGCTTCATCCAATTCACCTAGTTTCTCTTTGATCATTTCACAAGTACACTCAATATCTTCTTGACCAGGCATGAAGATCAAAATATCTCCATCCATTGCTCCCAAGTGAATAGTAACAGCTTGCTTAACGGCAGCATCGACGTAATCTTCGACAGGCGTTCTTGCATGGAACAGCTCAACAGGGAACGTTCTTCCAGGAATAGTGAAAGTTGGGCAGTTTCCTCCGAAGAAGTCCGCAAATTTATCTGCGTCCATGGTAGCGGAAGTCACAATCAGTTTCAGATCGGAGCGTTTTGCTACAACTTCTCTAAGAAGTCCAAAGAGCACATCAGTGTTAAGGGAACGTTCGTGAGCTTCGTCCATAATGATAGCCGAGTATTGGTCAAGAGTTCCGTCTCCAAGACATTCACGAAGGAGGATACCATCCGTCATATACTTGATGATAGTCTTCTCAGAAGTACAGTCCTCGAAACGAATCGCATATCCAACATCTTGTCCGAGCTCAACACCCATTTCGTCAGCTACACGTCTAGCAACACTCATTGCTGCTACACGCCTTGGCTGTGTACATCCAATCAGTCCGGCCTCTCCAAATCCGTCTTCAAGTAGATATTGAGCTAGCTGAGTTGTCTTTCCTGATCCGGTTTCTCCAACAATAATGACAACATTATTTTCTCGAATAACGTTCATCATTTTTTGTCTACATGCAAATACGGGCAGATACTCTCGCTGCTGCTTGATGGTCTTTTCCATAGCAAAGTCGGAAACAGCTTCATTGTCCTTCATGTGAGAAGCAAACTGGTGTGATTCTTTGTAGTTGCCAGAGTCATCATCCTCTGGGTTCGCAGTTTCATCAGGTTTTTCTTTGACACCCATCAGGTTTCCCAGTTTGGATCCAGCCAATTCCCAATGCTTATCTTGAGCTTTTTTTCTATCTTCCATCTCTCTCCGTCTT